CACAAATGCCATACCTTTGAAGAGGTTATCGACAGTCATATCTTTGCCGATTTGTGACAACACATTGTCCTTCGGTTCAAACCTCCAGACGAGCCACAGCTGAACGCCATTCACTTCCTTCCAAGAGTAGGCATAGATTATCTTCCGGTGACTAAACACTCCGCCCAACAGTAGTTTCCTCTCCTTCTCACAGAACTTCTCTTCGGACACAATGAGTACCGCAAACACTGAGATTATCATTAAAACAGTCGACACTAAAGACATTGTATCTTATGTTTGACTTTAAAGTTATAACAGTTTTTATTTGCGAGAAAATCTGTTTTAATTTGAATCAAATGTTTAAGTCGTTTGAGAACTGAATCGTTATAACGGTTTATAATTGTCGTTCACTTTAAGAGTTGTCTCGAGTTTACAATTTATTTGATTATAAACTAATTTATATTGTTATAAACAGGGATTGCATTTACAAAACTTGTATTTTATGCCTAAATAAATAATAATCTAATAACGGAATTGTCTTCGAAATTATCGGATTCTCTCAATTTCGCAAATAATTTTTTTGTGTAAATTTAGGTAATTTTAAAACATGTCCACAATTATACTTATTCTTGCATTTGTTATGAGCGAGCGTTTTATAAATTGATTATAATTTATAATGAATGCAAATATAATTAAAACCGTTTCTCAAATTCAGTAATTGTTTGGCATTTATTTATCCCTAGTTTTGAATAATAATTGATTTGAAATACATTTTATCATTTATTACAGTATTTTAATTAGACATACATTTGATTTCTATCTAATTTTCTTTGACAAAGAAAAACATACTTTCGTTTAATTGATTGAAAATGAAATCTCAAACTCAATTGATTGCTATTCTTGTGTTGCCGTTGATGTCTATCGTTGTCTGCAGTTTGTCTGACATAATTTAAATGACATTTATTTTATTAAACAAAACAAAAGTGGTTTTCAAATGCAAACTAAAACAACTAAATGAGTGAAAGACAATGGACTGGATGTGTGTGCGATGTCTGTGTCGGGCATAACATACATAACAGGCGTTCACTTCTGTCTCCAATCGGAATCAATTTCAGGCGCCGTTTCGCTGGTGAAGAATCGGCGACCGATTGTCCTCTTCGACGGTTTGAAGCCATATTGTCTGTGTCGGGCATACCATACATAACAGGCGTTCACTTCTGTCTCCAATCGGAATCAATTTCAGGCGCCGTTTCGCTGGTGAAGAATCGGCGACCGATTGTCCTCTTCGACGGTTTGAAGCCATACCTGGGTTTCGGTCGATTGGCGCCGGCGTTCTTCGACGGCCGGATGTGCTGGTGATTGAGCGCCGGCGACGACGTCGACACCACCGCCGCTGTCGGTCGCTCTTTCGGTGCCTTCATTTGGTCACTACTGTTGGATCCGTTGCGGCACTTGTCGTCTGAGCTGTCATCGGATGCGGCGGACGACGACTCCAACGACGCCTTCGAGAAGTCGTTGTTTCGCATCCAGTTGTGGACCAGTTTGACGACATTCACCTGTTCTTTGGACAGCTTATTGGCCGGATTGTTGGCACAGATCTCTTGATGGCGGCGGGCGTTGCGTATGGAGACAGCGGTAGCCGTACACGTCTGGCCGTCAAACCACTGGCACTTGAGTTTGATGGCCGACAGCCAGCGCTCGATCTCTTCGCTCAGATGATAGTATCGTTTGACGTCAAACGGCTTGCCATCGATGGGACACTTGCTGTCGAGTGCGGAACCGGCCGTCCGTTTCATGCATTGAAAGCAGGCGTTGTGTTGACAGCCGGAGAGACCGACGCCGTCGTCCAGAAGGCACCGACAGACGCAACACTTGGCCCCCAACGGCACAGTCAGCCCATTGGCGTTCGTCGCGATTAATAGCAGATCAAAACCCATGCCTTCACTCATCCGATGAGAAAATTAATTAATTAAATGATTGAAAATTTTATTTACTTATGATTTCTAACGCTAAAAAAGTTAACTGAAATATGCATTTTTGATATGCATTTGAATTTTTGAATTAACTTTTGGTTTTGTTAATAATAATCGCGTATATATTAGTAACTTATAATTATTTAGGCGCTAATTAATTAAATGAGGGTAAATTTACTATGGTTAAAGCCTTTAACCTTAAACCTTTAACTTAAAGGTTTCGCGTAAACAATTAAATTTAAAAACAATTTAAATTCAATTTATTTATCGCTTAAATCAGATCTAATTGTCATAAAATTATTATCCAATCGTTTGATACATCGCTGACAGGAATCAGAGACAAGTATATGACGGACTCTATGGAGACACCGGGAGAGGGCCGGGAGGCGAAGGCCATTGGAAAGCAGTTCGAGAAATTCATAAAATTATTATCCAATCGTTTGATACATCGCTGACAGGAATCAGAGACAAGTATATGACGGACTCAATGGAGACACCGGGAGAGGGCCGGGAGGCAAAGGCCATTGGAAAGCAGTTCGAGAAATTGGCCAATCAGTGGAATGAAAGACATTGTGATGTATAACAGTTTGCTTTAATTAGCCAACAATTTGTCCATTCATTTGAACTTAATTTACATTCACATAAATAGCATGAAAGCAGGAAATCATTGGAAAACATTGAGAAGTATAGCGAAGAGCAGCTGAAGATCGCGTTTGAGAACCAATTGACAGCAACGGCCGGTAAATCATAGCATTTGATTTCTATTCACTGATAAAACTTATAATTCAACACTAATTTAACGCCAATTTAAATAATCATTGAAAACAGACGGCACAATACGTACACCATTTGGCTCAGGGATGGGTTATCTGAACCTCTACTCGTTGACGGCGTTCAGTCAGGCCGTGGCCGACATATACCCCTCGTCACAGGGGCTCATAGCGTGCAATGACTGGCATATGTTGGGCTCAAACAAAAATATAGCAACGGTTGCGGGAAATGTTAGCCACCTGTGCCGCTACCTCGACGAACCCGTACCGCTGCCATACCTGGCGTACATCGTGTCCATCGGTGACTATAAGTTTGGTATTTACCTGAATTATATCGACGAAAGAGAGTGGTAATCATTAGGCATTGAATTTAATAGTTTTTAGCGATTAAATACTTTGTTTATCAAAAACCATAAGTGATATATCGGTTGTCAATGAGTTTGGGACCAAAGAAACAGTAGATGTGCTGCGAATCGTCGACTATAAAACTGAGGCGAGATATGGGGTCCGGGCTTTGGACCCGAACTTTGTGGACGACAATCGTGTGAAAGAGCTGCCGGTGAGAGACGCCGAGTTCATGCGCGCCGTCAGGGCTGCGGTACTGCCCGGCAGTCAACAACTGGTCGACTGTACAAACATTGAGTTCGTTGTCATGCATTTCGGGCGCACCTCTCGGGTGATCGAGTTGTGTCTCAAGGAATTGGGTTTTGTGAAGGGCCGCCACTTTACCACATATGAGTGTTTGGCCGCCAAAGGCAGTGAACGGCAACTGTTTTCGCCCGCATTTAAACTGGTATTTCACAACTTATAAACACATTATTAACACTAATTGTTAACACATTTCCCCCACCACTGCGTTCAAGAACGTCGACTCAAAAGTAGCGCCGGACACGTCTCGGCTCATCGTCGGCCTGAGTAACGACGGCTGCCAACTGTTTGTGTACGAGAAGGGCTCTGACGGCAAGTGGACGCTCTTCACGCACGAAGAGTTGGCCCATCTGTTGCTGTGGTGGGCAAACGTCCGCTACAAATACCACAAAGCCATCAGACAGGCGAGAGGGCAACACCGGGAGCGGCCCTGTCATGTGTACGGACTCAATGAGCACAGCACTGGTTTTGTGGCCAATTTCTGCGCCCGAGAGGGACTCACGTTAGAGGTAAGGCTCAACTCAATTGACATAATGGCTAATCCTTTGCCTCATTTTAACGCCTGTATCGGCGGATCAGACGCACAGAAATATGGCGGACATGTTGTTCATCACCGAAGATGTGTATCAGAAGAGGGTTACGGCTGTCGATCCGGCGGACTATGAAAGCGGTGCCGTCGAGTACTACGAGACACCGCCCGACCCGATGCTCATTGTCATCGGCACTGACGGCCGCTTTATATGCGATCCCGAGTATATGCCTGTTTGGGACGGCATCGGCGCCGCTCTGCACGTCATATATATGGCTATATATCTGAATGGCATCATTCGGGGCACTCTTCGCAGCCATTTGGACATAATTCACAAAACATGTCAGCAGTAGTTCTCCAGTATCTCGTCCTCCAAATTAAAAATGCACTCAATTTCTGTCCAATAAATAGCTTTTCCAATTCAATACATGTTTTAAATTACAAAAATTATTTGCTTTCCAATCGGTTGTGATTTGTATTTAATGCTGCGATTGTTTGCTTTTGTTTCCATTAAATGATTAGTGTTTGTGATTTATATGATTTTACATGTGGTCCGCATTTAACCATTGGTTCCTTATGTTAGACAATGACAATTAAAATACATGTATAATCAAATTGAAAGTTTAATGATTTTTATGATTACATTAATTAATTATTCAATTTTAACACAAAAGCATTCAATGATTATTATAATGAAATTATTTAAAAGTTAGATTTTTAAGACATTTTATATATAAATAGTGTTATAAAAGACATCTTCACAATATATAACATAAATAAGTAATTTATAAATATACCAAAAATATTCTTAATGTTTAAGAGTTGTGTGAATTCTTAGCCCGGGTTAGCATCAGTTGTCCAATCGTTGAGTCAATGATCTTGAATTCAAAACGATTATTACGGCATTTCTCACGCAATTGCGACACAAATATCTCTTTCATCGCTTCATTCAATTCAATGATAATAAACTGTTCGCTCGGATCTGATATCAAGAGATAATATAATAATTATATAGAAATTAATTATAAAATCAAACCTTTTGAATAGATATCAAACTTGCAATCGTTTGACATTAAATCAGTGATCGAACAACTCTTTCCGCCGACGAGAAAAACTTTTTCATATTTAGGTTTAATGCAAAGCATAGGCAGTGAGGGCTCAACGCATGCCATCAGACAATCGATGAAACGATATGACACATGGATTCTGTCAATCACTTTGGTTTCACTACCATTTGGCGCAACATTATTGAAGTGAATGCCATTTTCGTCCAATTCAATGGTCCCGACAGTTGACACACATTTGCCAAACAGTAAACATTTGGGAATTAATTGCAAACAAAGGACTAGTTTTACGCCAACTTGTGTTGCCTTCAGTAAAGTCTCCAAATCTTTATATTTAGATAAATTCTCCATTTGTTTGCACTTCGACTCCAAATCCAATGCCTTTTCATTGGATTTCTTTAATCTTATCTCAAATTCTTTGGCTCTTTGTGTCCATTCATTTCGGTCTCTCTTCAGGCCTTCAATACAGTTGTGGTCATCCCTTACGAGACCCACAGATAGACCACATGTTTGACACAATCTGTATTGACATGTCTTGAGATGAGTGGACAACGATTCCAATGGAAGCACTTCTGGACATCCGTTCCACTCGTAGTCACATCTGATCCTCAGTTTCTCTATCAATCCATTTAAGCGTCGATTTCTTTCCACAAAAACATCGCTTCCGATAACCAAAGTATTGCAATCATTCATCTGATCCATTGTCCGCTTCTTATTGACCAAACAATGTTGATCCTCAGTTTCTCTATCAATCCATTTAAGCGTCGATTTCTTTCCACAAAAACATCGCTTCCGATAACCAAAGTATTGCAATCATTCATCTGATCCATTGTCCGCTTCTTATTGACCAAACAATGTTGACATTCGGGACACTCTTTGCTGGTCTGGGGTCTTGAGAGCCGTTCATTGAGACACTCGTGACAAAAGGTATGTCCACATCGAGTGATAACCGAGTTGTCCAACACTTGCAGACAAATACCACATTTGAAACCATCGGTCAAAGCGGCCAAAGACTCGTTGGTCTCGAGATCGGGAAGCGATTGCAATGATAGCCCGGCATTGAATGAATGGATTGATTGAATGATTATTAAAATCAATTGAAAACAACTTTTTTGGCAAATATTTTGGTTTCAAATCTTGTGTTCAATTTTTAGTGATTCAATGCTTCAATCGCTCAATAATTACGGCCAATAAATGACCACAAGTTTGAGATAACATGAAGTTTTATTACAAATTTAAACTAAAGATTAAGTTTTGCTATTAATTAATGAAATTGAAAATGAAATGAAATTTAATAATAAATTTAATGAAAACAAATCAAAGAAATTTATTTAAACACAAATGCATTGAATGAATGAAAACATTACAAAAAGTTTGAAAAATCAATGTTTAAAATAGACTACAATTTAGACCACTATTCGGACGATTTATTTGCGTTGAGTTGTTTGATGAGGACATCGAGGGATCGGATCTCATTCCTCCGGTCGTCCATCGCTTCCAAGTCTTCGGACAACTCGTCGTCGTCTGAGTTGTTCTCCAAATAAGTGGTCGTTTGTCTCAAATCCATTGAATTGCCGGACGAAACACTATTGTCGGCCACCGATGACAGGGAAGACACTTCCGGGTAGTGATCATCGCTGGGAATGTCGTGAAACCTATCGTTCATATTGTCTTTGGTTCGCAAGTCTTCGACGAATATTCTTCGGTCTTCCACTTCATCGCCAGTTATTTGTCCGCCGTTTGGGTTCTTCTTCTGTTTGAAGAGACTCTTGAATCCATTGAATCCCCACTTCTTCTTCTTCTTTGTCTCCTTCTTCGGTGTCGAGCCGTCGGTTAACTGACATTCATTTGATTCATCAAACGGTGAATCAAAATTGGGAACCAATTTGTGAACTCCCGAGACATCGACGCCTCGATTCAAATTCTTGCCTTCCTTTGCATTCATTTGGTTTTGTGGTCTCTTTGGAGACATTGTTTGCACACAAATCGTGTTGAATATTATATGCGATCGATTTGTTTGACTCAAAAACACTTGTCTTAAAACGAATTAACAGATTATAATTTAAGTAAACGTTTATTATTTCAAATCAAATGTCCGTTTAATTAGCGATAATCATATCTGACATACATTTCTAATTGTTTATCAAAATTATGCGACAATTGAAGTATTGTTATGACTTTTTAACATTTATTCCAATATCAGTGATTTTTACATATATTTATTTTTAAATTCTTAAAACTTATATCTATTAAAGTATGGCCATTGATAATTGAGTATTTAATATGGGTTTAAATTAGTTTAATTGTTATCTAAATATATTCACAAAATCTATAGTAAATACTATGTTATAAATATTTAATATTTTATAATTGGTTTTCTAAATTTAAATCTAATTTTCATTGATTTCTTTATTTAATAAATTAATAATATAAATGACATTAAGTTTTGATTGAATCATATTATGAATTATATTATGACAGATGATATAATTGACCATGATATATTACCGTAATATATTGTATTGGATTGTATTTTTGCGCAAAACGTTTAAATAAATTATGAAAAACTTTTAAATGAATGAAAAAAAGTTCAGTTTATTGTTTATATTTATGTGTTATAAAAGAAACTTAATATAAATATTATACTAAATTACTAAATAATTAACAAATGTATTAATAAACCGTTCAAAAGATTCAAATATTGTCGTATTTTATGGAAAAATCGTTTAAATTCTTTATCAAAAATGAGTTTGTGTTTAATACCGACGGATCAATTGATGGCCTGTCTTATCATCAGTTCTCCGCAATTGGGACCAATTGTCTTGAATTCGAAATTGTTATTATCCACACATTTATCACACAATTGCGAAACAAATGTTTCACTCAATACTTCTCTCAATTCAATGATAATAAACCTTTGGCTCGAATCTGATGTCAAGAGATAATGAGATAATAATAAAGAAATTAATAAACAATAGTTTTATACACAATAATAATAGCAAACCAATTGAATTGACATCAAAGCGGCAATTATTGATTAAATCAGTTATTGAACAATAGTTGGCGTCGACAACAAACCCACGATTATTGTTGGGTTTAATGCACAGCAATGGCAGTGAGGGCTCAACACAAGCGTACAGACAGTGTATCTCATTATATGTTAAATAAAGTGTTGCAATACTTTTAATTACGGTATTAAAGGACACAATATTATTGAAAACAATACCAAATTTATTGAATTCAATGGATCCGACTTTTATGACACATTTGCCAAACCGTAAACATTTGGGAATTACAGCCAAAGGAATCACTTGTTTTGCTACAACTGTTGATGTGTTCACTGATATCTCCAAATCATGGTATTTGTGAATCAAGTCTTTGTGCAAACCATCCATTTGTTTGCATTTCGACTCCAAATTCAGTGCTTTTTCTTCAGATTCCTGTAGTTTTGTCTCCAATTCTTTGACTTTTTGGTTCATTTCTTTAGTTTTTGTCTCAAATTGTTTCACTTTTTCTATCCATTCATTGCATTTCATTTGCCATTCATTTTGTTGTGAATTATATTTCTTCTCCAAATTCAATGTCTTTTCATTGGATTCCTTTAATCTTATCTCCAATTCTTTGGCTCTTTGTGTCCATTCATTTCGGTCTCTCTTCAAGCCTTCGATACAGTTGTGGTCATCCCTTACGAGACCCACACATAGACCACATGTTTGACACAATTTGTGTTGACATGTCTTGAGATGAGTGGACAACGACTCCAATGGACACACTTCTGGACATCCGTTCCACTCGTAATCACATCTGATCTTCAATTTCTCTATCATTTCATTTATGCGTCGATTTTTGTTCACCAAAACATTGCCTCCGATTATGACCTCATTTCCATCCGTCGACTGACTTCTGGAACGCTTTCTTGTGGCCAACGATTGTCGACATTCGGGACACTCTTTGGTGGTCTGCGGTCTTGAGAGCCATTGATTGAGACACTCGTGACAGAAGGTATGTCCACATCTGGTGTCCACCGCTTTGTCCAACACTTGTAGACAAATACCACACTTTAAACTGTGGGCCAAAGACAGGGACTCAACGACTGACAGATCGGGGAAACGATTGCAATCAAAGCCCGGCATTGAATTAATCGCGCAATTAGTTTGACTGCAATTGAAAACACGTTTTGTGCAAAACTTTTGTTTACATAAATAGTGTACAAATCACTAAGATTGCAAGTCATTTATGCAGGGGTATATACTGCACTTCAAACTTTGAAATTTTCAATAATTAAACAAGTAATTTTGATTAAATAATTATTTAAGAAAGGTTATATTTCAGTTGTATTTTTAATATTTTATTTAATTATTAATAACACATGACGTGAATTAATTCAATGAGTTTTATTGATAAGAGTTATAATACTATATAAATGTTATTAATTATAATTGTAATTAAGAAAATTATTTAAATGAATGTTTAAAACAATGCAAATGCTATCATAAAAATGAATATAAAAATATTTATGAAAGGTTTTACTCGTGTTTAAAGATCTAAATAAATGGATGCAGGGATGGAACCAATTCATGGATTCTTAGCCCCCGTTAGCATCTGTTGTCCAGTAATTGAATCAATTATCTTGTATTCAAATTGAGGATTATTATAGCATTTTCCACTCAATCGCAACATAAATGTCTGTTGAATCGATTCATTCAATTCAATGATAATAAACTGTTTGTTCGGATCTGATATCAAGAGATAATACAATTAAAAACCAAATTAATATATGAATTACACATAAGAGTAATAATAATGACAAACCTTTTGAATTGACTTTAAAATTCCAGTTATGGATTAAGTCTGTGATTAAACACCACTTCCCGTCCACAACGAAAGCATCATTTCTGTTGGGTTTAATGCAAAGCATAGGCAGTGAGGGATTGACACACGCGTACAGACACTGCATCTCGTTATACGACAGAAATATATTTGGGATGATTTTGCTGTCGTAAGCGTTTTGCACAGCATTGAAGTGAATGCCATTTTCGTCGAAGTCAATGGACCCGACATTTGTGACACATTTGCCAAACAGTAAACACTTGGGAATAAACATCAGCGGAATCTCTTGAGGGGGTTGTGGTCCCAATGCCTTCACCTTCTTAAGCATGACTGCACGCGAAGGATGGGGTAGTGGTGTCTGAGGCAGGTATTCCTGTATTATGGCTATCATTTGATGATTTCTTTGCGCTAAAAACCCATTACTTGTTGTCATTGTATGGCATTTGTTGCGTTGAGTTTGCAATTCATTGCGAACTGAATTGTATTTCGACTCCAAATTCACGGCCTTTTCT